CTCCTTCCTTTAGGACAGTGGTCGGCAAATTGCGGCTCACGAGCCACATGCGGCTCTTTGGCCCCTTGAGTGCGGCTCTTCCACAAAATACCGACTTCTGTGCATCGGCCACGAAGTTTCAATCGCACTGTATGTGCGGGCCCGCACGTGGTATTTTGTGGAAGAGCCACACTCAAGGGGCCAAAGAGCCTCATGTGGCTCACGAGCTGCAGTTTGCCGACCACTGGTCTAGGGTGATAAAGGAGGACTCAGAGGGGCGGCATGAATGAAGGTGCAGCCCTGAGTTGGGGCACATTGAGGAGCTTGGCTAGGGGCAGTGGTGGCACCAAGGGTCTGGAGGTCGGAGAGGGCAGAGGCTTGGGCTTCCCACTGGCCACGCTCCCGAGGTAAACTCAGGCTTAATGGTAGATGAGCCTCACATGCTCCTGGGGTTCTCACGTTGGATATAGCACCACCTTGGCTCCCAGTGTCACGTCTTAGTGCCTTAGTTTCTTCATTTGTAAAATGGAAATAATTGTACATGCCTGGAGAGATGGCATAAAAGCTACATAGCAAGATCTCAACAATTGCGAGGGAGGCCATGTTTTTTGGTTTTTAAAACTATTATTTTAGGACATTTGGGAGAACGAGAGCCAGTAGAATGTAGGGGTTAAGGGGCCCAGCTGGGCTGCCTGAGTTTGAATCTTAGCTCTGGCATTTGCCTCTCGTGTGACCTGGGTGCCTGACTTAACGTTTTTATTCTCAATCTCCCTATCTACAGGGTGGGCGCAAAAGTAGAGTTATGGTTGCATCCACTTCTGAATACAACAATTAACAAATAAAAATACCAGGATAATCCCACCCTAGGTAAAATTGATTATGGGGATTAAGCAAGTGAATATGTGCAGAGTTCTGCCCAGGGTCTGGCACAGGACAGGCATTTGTCAAATGGGTTAATTTGCTTCCGGAGGATCCCTGCCTCCAGGCCATCCCCAGCCATGGGATCACCCACTGGCCCAGTGCTGTCCCTGCTGGTCACTCTGGGGACTGTGGGCTGAGACCCCACCTTCGAGCCTGGAGCTCCTACCTATCCCAATCATTCTGGCCCTATCCCACCTCTCCCCTGCCCCCTCCCCCCTTACAGATCTCACCCCATCTCATCCTCCTGGCCAATCCAATGGCTCTCTTTTATTACCAGCCCTCCCCAGGCCAATCCAACTGCGTTACTTTCTCCAGGCCTGCAGGTCAGGTCCCAAACTTTGCAAGGGGTCGGCACTGTCCTCGGACCATTCGTTCTCCAGGAAACAATTTTTTTTATCCCCACTTTATAGGCGCTAAATCAAGATTGTCTTCACTGATTTCTCTTGGTCACTGCGGGCCTGAGGGCAACAGCTAGGCCGATCAGGACGGCCAGCATGGCATTTGCCCTTGCCATGCCTTCTGCCAGGAACACAGGAGGCCTTTAGGAACCACATGAGCATCTCCTGCTGGGGTTCTTGTTCCAGCGTCTAGGAGGGTTCGGCAATCTGGAGAAGGCACTGTGCATAACTTAATAAGGAGTCCAGAGACAAAGCATAATTTTGAAAGGGATTTGGGGGTCAGAGGAGCCTAGCTAACGAAACGAAGATCTCCTCTCTCCTAGTCTCAGGACCCCATGCTTTTCATTAACACAAACTGTCCTGAGGCGAGGTGGAGATATACACTTCAAAGGGTCAGGGTTTCCTATGCAGAGCCCATTGTCAGATTGGAAGAATTAGCCTATAGCTGCTCAGGTGTTTGGCCAGTAGGAGGCAATACCATGTAGATTACGATGCCCTGAGCTGTCAGCAGCAAGCAGTCAGTTTATGCATCCCTTTCAGGTTTGGGGAAATGACCTTCAGCCACTCCAGATTCAGCCCGGCTGTCATGCTGGAATTAGCTTCCGGCACTCTTCCCCTCTCCAGTCGAGAGATCCTCAAGTCCTACTTCCTCTTAGTAGTCCTCCACCCCCACCCACCCAGCATCCAGGGCAAGGCCATTGACAAGGAGGAGAATGGCCAGAAGAGGAGGAGAGCATATGGCACCCCCAAGGGCTCTGAATTCTGTTCCCTGTGCTCACCATCACTTGCTGCTGGGTAACAGCAACTAGAGTTGGGGGGGGGGGCATGAACAAACATGTGGAGGGCAGGCCCTGGGTTTGATGTCTTAGTTTGGGCCCTGGAAGCCGGGTGGCCCTTTACCCTCTGTCTACACTCTGACCCCAACAAACGTTTGCTGAACAATTGATGGACATCTGATTCATGTCTGTCCCTTCTGTGGAGCCTTGCACAGCGGCAGAAACATCAAACACACCCAGGAAAGATTAGGAACTTACTTGAAGACCAAGCAGGATTGCCCTGGGTCCAGTCTTCTCAAATAAGCTCTGCTCATTCTCCATTACAAAGCTGAGCTCAGCAGATGCTGTGGAAAGAAACCTTCTTGTCTGAAGCCCAGATGTCTCCATGGCTGTTCCTGTACAGCGATGGGCAAATTTGGATAAGAGTGCGGTCCCCGGGGATGGCCAGGAGCTCAGACATCTGGGAGGAGAGTTTGTGCATGTGATGGCAGGTGTGTGTGTGGGGGTGGTATTCCTATCTCTCTGCATGTGTGTTGTACTTTTCCTCCGTTGTGCACCATTTCCCATCACTTATCTTTCAATGATGTTTTCTCTGTGGGTTTAATAAGATGGTGGCGAGAAAGCAAGACATGAGAAGACAAGAGAGAAAAGTGATGGAAAGTCAGAGAGTCTGAGTTTGCTAAAGATATGAATGTAGATGCATGGTGAGGAGAGCAAGGGAGAGAGGGACCCACGGAGAAGGGAATGCAAGGAAAAGATCGAGACAGCATGGCACGATCATGCAGAGAGACGAGATAGCTCAAATAAACAGTTTTGAAATAAGGTGAGCTGTTGACGGGAGTAAAATGGGGCACTGGCACTTTAAAATTAATTGGATCCGAGTGATCAATTTATCAAGGGCTTTGGCAGGAGGGAGATGAGGTGTGGATAAGAGAGACAGAGAATAACAGAGACCAATGTGTGTTAAGCATAGTGAGAGATGTAATTCACCTTAACAGATTAAAGAGGAAATGTTATCTAGGTGTCCCAACGATGCAGAAAATGCATTTGCTAAAATTCACCACTTATGTTTGATAAAAGGAAAAAATAAAATCTTAGGCCCTAACCGGTTTGGCTCAGTGGATAGAGCATCAGCCTGCGGACTGAAGGGTCCCAGGTTCGATTCCGGTCAGGGGCATGTACCTTGGTTGCGGGCACATCCCCAGTGGGGGTTGTGCAGGAGGCAGCTGATCGATGTTTCTCTCCCATCGATGTTTCTAACTCTCTATCCCTCTCCCTTCTTCTCTCTAAAAAAATCAATAAAATATATTTTTTTTAAAAAAGAAAAAAAATCTTAGCAAACCGGAAATAGACGTGGACCTCCTTAACTTGGTTTTCTATTAAAACCTACACCAGATGTCATATGTAACAGTGAATACTGAAATGCTCTTTTTAAGATGGGAACAAGCAAGGGTGCCTGTTGTCATGGTGTCTGG